AATCCGTTCAGTTTGCTCGGCCTGCGTTTTATTGTTGAAATTTCTATTGTTTCTTGTTGATTTTTAGGTGTTTGACTTCGACGAAGTCTTTCAACTTTATTGTTAACTGGTATTACTACTGATTGATTTTTTGATGGGAGTCGTCCGTATCTTTTTTCAGAAGACGAAGACGATAATTGTCTCGATTCAATTTCATGATATATTTTATTTATCTTATTTATCTTTGATTGATATGAATTATTATCATCTTCAACAAATTCATTAGTCTGTGGTGAAAGCCTCCTTTGACGACCGCGCGACACGGACCGCAAGGGGGTTTTTTCGGTTTTTTTTTTAGTTGTAAAATCTTGTGTATCCGAATTTTTGTTTTTTCCATCCTCGGCTTTACTTTTTGATAAAGGTCGGCCACGAGACATAGAACGGTTTCGATCAGAATGGTTAATTTCTTCATTATCTTTTAGTGAAGATCTTTTTCTTTTGAGATCATGTGGTACTGAGAGATTTCTTACTTGAGATTTTCCTGATTTCTTTTTAAAGTTTTGCGCAAGATTAGTTTCATTACTACTACTTTCTGATGATGACCTCCTTTGGCGACCACGTGACACAGAACGATTCAATTTTCGAAGTGTTGTGGAACCTTTTACATCATCAAATTTGTCTTTGTTATTACTTTCTAGAGAAGGTCGAACTCTCTGAGGACCACAAAAATTTTTGTTTGAGAAATCATTCTGCATCTCTCGCTCCTTTTTAACTTTAAATGCTTCGATATCAGATTGTAAAGGTTTTCTTAAACGATTAAATTTAGTAGAGTCATTTGCTACATCAAATTGGTTATTGTTATCAACTTTATTCTTTGGAGATCCTCTGTTACGACCACGCGATACAGGCTGATATCTCGAAAGAAAAATTTTCTGATCACTATCAATTTTTATTAAGGAGGATTCATGTGAATCATCAGAATCTTCTAAAAATTCACTACTTTTTGGTGGTATTTTTATTTTGCGTAGCTTACTAGGCACCCTTTCACGTGATAAAGATCTTTTAAGATCACGTTCAACTTTTACATTGCCCTTTTGGTTAACCTTTGAATTAGGAGGTGGGACAGAAACAGACCTAGGCTTACAACCACGTTTTTGAATTTCATAATCTACTTTAACAGGAGTAAAATTTTCAAGACGATTCCTTGAAGGGGTTTCTCCTTTTTTAGAAACAATTGTTTCTCTTCCTACAGGAACGACTGATGGACGAATTCTCCTTTTGGTATCATTATTTGTACTACTTGCGCCCTTAAATGAAGTTGATTCTGGGGTTGAGGCGCAATTTTTTGGGGGTCTTCCTCTTCGTTTTGCAATTTGACTAGTTTGACCTTTTTCAGGAGTAGAAGGACTAGATGGAGCAGGATCTTTTGATTGCACAGATATAACACCAGTTTTACTCAGAGGTCTTCCGCGTTTTCTTTTTGGAACTTCATTTGATGACTCCATTATTTTTTTTACAACTATTTCTTTGCAAAGAAAAGAAGAAAGTTCCAAACTAAGTAAAAAAGGATAGCTATTTAATGCATTTTGGCATAATATGATGATAGAATGACGAATGTA